GTCCGCTAAATTTTTTTTTTAAAATTAAAAGACCCACCCAAAAAGACTAAACAAGACTTTTATCGTTTTTGTGGGGTGTTTTTTGGGGTGTTTTTTGGTTGTTTTTAAATAAAGGACCCAGTGGCCTGGGCAACGAAAGGACACTGCGACAGTTCAAGAGCTCCGTTTTGCATCAACAACAGAGTCAGCTGTGATGGTAGAGTTTATAATTCACACTCATAAACCACGACGTGAAAAATGGTAGTATCAAAGAAGCAAGCACGACCACTTTGTTACAGAATAACAAGTCTGACAAACGGAAGCAAAGTGTAAAAGCTCATATAATATAACATTATATTATAACATAAAAGAGGCAGTATTGCAAGACGTAAAATGTGGAAAGAAAAGGGGGAAGGCCACTGAAAAACAAACCCACGTGCATCGAAAAGGCATGACGACGACATGCAAGCAGAAAACGAATACAAAGAACCATGTCATAGACCCTGTGCACAACTCTACAACTGAAAGCAATGTACACTACCAAAAGCACAATGTGCTATATTGATCGTGGGGGTGTGCAGTCTGTGGTAGAAGGAAAAAAACACACAAAAAAACAACCCACAAAAGGCACAACAACCAGCACCCAACAGGAAAAGCGCAGACTTTTCTACAAAGCAGAACAAAGCAGAACAAAGCAGAACAAAGCAGAACAAAACAAAACCAAGCAAAACAAAAAGCAAACAAGCAAACAAAGAAACAACAACAACAGCCACAACAACAACAACAACAACAGCCACAACAAAACCCAGCAATTCACTTTGCCAAGATAGGTAGTTTCCTGAATGACAACAAAGGGGATAATGATCAACAAAATGACGATGATAATAACAACAACAACAACAACAAAAATAACAACAACAAAAACAAGAATAATAATAATAATAACAAAAGAATAAGAAGAAGAATAGTAAATAAGTTCGCAGTCCTCAAAAAAATTAATTAAATAAATAATTAAATAAATACAAACAACTGACAAAAATCCGAGTCATCCCCCCACCCCCCACCCCCTTCTTTTTTTTGTTTGTTTTTTCCTCATTGTTCTTTCGTGTAATTCCACGGGCCGTCTCTCCCCCTTTTCCATTTTTGCTTCCACTATCATCCTTTGCCTCCCCAAAGATCTTTCGATATCTCAATCCATCAAACTCTTCATGTATATATATTACAGAATGACGTCTCCAACCAACTTAGTCCTATATTCCCAACGTCATCATTAATTTTTGTCCATGTACTTGTATAGTTCATCAACAAACACTGACCCACGTTATGAAACATTTTTTTAGTTTTAGTGAGAGTTTTACGGCATTTGCAACACAATAAGGTCATATAAGTGGCCGAAGATTAGAGGTGTTACAAGAGAATAACGTACACAAAAAGAAGACGGGGAGATAAGGACGATAGATGTTAGATAGGATAGAAGGAGCAAACCACACCAGAGCACCCGCCAACCACCCACGCTTTTCATTTTTTGCTCTTAAACCAATATTATTATAACTAAATAAAAAAAAGTGATA